TGCTCTCAAATATAGTCGTAAAAACAAGAATACAGTGGCCATTTATTTGACAAACCTATACTGGCAAATGTAAGTAATTACGCGTTATGACAGAATTCGCCATCCCAGGCAGCGAAAAGTTGGAATGGTTTCCCTCATCGGTAGTTGAGAAAAGGGAAGTGAAAACTGTGGGAGGACTGACTTATTCGAATTCCGTGAAGTATGATGAGATTTTAAACTGGTTACGGAATTCTTTCCTTAAAAGAGTTCGACAATTCAAAGATAACAGGAAATGTGAAACGGTCATTTCGTCTTTATTGACATTTATCATCAGCTTGTATGAAGCTTGGAAACCTCTAGCTACTCGTCAAAAGTGTGTTGAACCGTCCGGATATGGACATCTTCTGCACATAAGAGAAGTACTCGAGATGATACATACATCCACTAAGAGTCCACATCCTAGGAACTGGTCGAAAGTTCTTACCTTCGTCCTCATAGTGGTCTGCTTGATGCACTTACTCCAGAAACCATCATGCGTAGCTGGTTGCACGGACCGAATACTAGACTTTAGAATTTTATGAAAACCATCCATACCAATCCAACAAATTGTTAGTTTCTTAAGAGTAGAGTGAGCCTTAAAATGGCTGCCATTTCTAACTATGTCAGTGAGTCTTGGGAGAAGCTACCCGGCATAATCTTGTGGCCTCCTTGTATATTCACTGGTGTACTCTGAAAAACTGTCAGCAAAAATTCCATTTTCATACCTTTAAGAATTGGGTTTATATACTCAGGACAGTAGCCAACGAACAGAAACTTTACGATTATAATGGCAAGGCAGAGTGTACACTACTTAATAAAATGTTGTCCCACTGGATAGTTTACCTTATTTTTCTTCGGTTCCAGACATTCCTTGACGGATGATTTACAAAAGCTGGCACAATGCTAATTTTTGAATTGATTCAATCAGAAGCACTTAGTATTAAGTGAGTTCGCTTAGAACTAGAGGTTGATAGACGTTGAAAATCCTGATAAAGTTGGTTTATTTTAGGTAAAGGTGAGAGTGACTTCAAGCAGCTTCACGCACCTATCAATATCTTTGAATACTTAACAACTGTTCTGGGAGAGGTTCTATGTAACTTAAATGTGCTTGAGGCCAAAAGGGAGTAAGGAACCCTGAGATACTCCTTTTATATGAAGAATTCTTTGTAAGCTGGACGGTTACTGTAAAGTGTCATCACCGTTTTGTTCACTTGATAGTAGCCAACAGAACATTTCCGGAGTTTATCACTGAAATTTTCAGTGAAGCAATGTGCGCTTTTGCACAATCAAACCTTTCTAACTGAGCTAACTATAGAAGCCATATGTAGGGATTGACCTGAGTGTCGATCTATCCTTACAGAAATTATTCACACAGGACAACAATAGATATGGGACGTTTACATTGGGCATCCACTGGGATTCTTTCTTTTGCTTTTTGGCATAATTTTGCGTAAATCCAAATTACAATTTCCCCAGGTTTTCATAGAAATGGCTATCACTAAACAGTTTGGCTTGTATCGGCTTTGAAATAAAAATATAGAATCAGTCATTATGACTGCTTAATTCTCTTCATGACATTTGCGTGCATAGTCCTGTTAGTGGCTGCATGGTTAAAATAATTGACTAAAATTAGCCAGTTCGGTTGGCGAAAATCAAACGCTTTTCAGGTGGCGAGTTTTCAGCGTTGTGCAGCTCAGTGCTTCACTGGTTGCCCTGTGTATACAATAAATATACCCAACTCCCGCAATATTTTTTGTGAATCGTACAAAATTTCAAATCGTGCCACCACTTTTTTTTGCTTATCAGTTCGGTGCACTCTGAAGTTTTAAATATAGGAGCTCTGGTGGCAAGCCAAATTTCCGAACGAAACGCATTCAACCAAACTGCGTGATTTACATATTGACCATAACAAATCATGTGTGACGAAAAATTCCGATGACGTTCGGTGAAGTCGTTTACTGAAACTGAAAGAAACTTCGATTTTCCTGGAAAAATCTACGTGTGTACGTATACTTCCGAGCGGGCGAGTTGGCGGAAACAAATGTGAGGCACACCCTTTTTTGCAGTGTTCCACGCTTCATTAAGAGTGATTTAAGTCAAGTGGTATTCGCATGATCGATTTCAGCTGCTTTTGTAAATGTGCTCAGTTGACCGTCGTCACGGTGCAATATGAGATTTAACGGCTCAAAGGTAGGAAAACGGCTTATGTACACATGATACATGGTAACTGGAACTCAAGATTAAACAAAGCGTTTTCAGTTGCCTCATGAATATGACTTGGAAATCAATAGTCTTTCTAGGCTGATGATCCGATGGAAGCCTGGTGAATGAACATGGTGAAAATCATGCAGTGAAAGTCGTCTAATTGTGCGAAACGAGTAAGTTATGCAAATCTAGGTGTCATGTCTGCACTCTAACTACCCCATAGAATTTAGAAATCTAGCTATATCAGAAGCTTCGTAAGTCATCCGTGAAACTAAATTTTCACTGCGTTGTCGGTCGGACCGACGGTACGAGAGACGAACTGAAAGATTTTGTCACTTCAAGAAACAAATTACAAAACAATACCTTGTTTGTGGGTATGTACAGTTTCTTGACATCATCATACACGTTCAGTGTTGGTTAGAACGGAAGGTTTTAGATAATGACAATAACCCTTTTGAATGCCGATATTTCAATATAGTATCGATAATAAATTTTGCCCCATCTCCCAAAGATTTGTTTCACATCCATCTTTTTCTTAACAGGATCACACGGTTCTCATTCCAGAATTATTACCATCTGGTTGATGAATAACACTGTAAGTCCTCGGAAAGGACTCAAATGGGTCGATAACCTTCCAGTAAGAGGTAACTCCCTTAGAGCTCTTGAGGCGTAAACACTTTCTGGTACAGCGACAGACCTACTTTCAGGTAGTGTGATCAGGGATGGGTAAACAATCAATCTCTTCTTGAGCTGAGCCGCTCGAGTAGTTGTTCGAACATCATTGTCATGGAGATTGTCAGCGACGACGAGACATCAGTTTTAACAATTAACAAACCATTTTCGTCCTGCAAAGGTAAGATCCAAGTCTTTCGTCGAACTCACTTGGCAAGTTATCAAATACTAAAAAGCTGTGTAAGATCACTACTCTGATGATTTGATATCTTCAGAAAGCAATGAGAGCAAAAAAGTCATTTCTTGCTTCCGATTATGCTATAATTACATTTGATCCAGGAATCAAGTAGCCATTCGAGATCACTCATACTTTGGATGACACGAAAGAAAGACGGTTACAACTGACCATGCAACTCTAAAAGCCGTAAAATCATCTCTTCTACGCGATAACTCAGGACTAGCAGCCACAGTGAATTGCGATTTCTTATACAGTTATCTCAAGGAGCATCGAGTCAGCTTAGTATACACCCGTGATGAATATTCGCAATTTAATTGGGATCGTTGTCCAGTATGGCCAATGGCTATCTACACAGCTGAGTATGCCAATTCAGAGCTAGGGCCTATCCCCGATTCCCCGTTAAGGGAATACGTGGTGGAGTGCAAACAAGAAACAAGAGTCACACTATATCTATAGCGTTGTGTAAGTTGCACACATTTTGAACCAATTCGGACCCACTCTCAATGGATCCAAAAAGGATGACACTCGAAGTAGTATAATGCTATGCAAACGACATCCTTTCTATGAAGGTTTGTCGCAGGCATGCCTACTCCACTAACAAACCAGTAGGCTCTGTGTTTCCTCCACAGAGATGCTACTGTCCTGATAATTTAAAACTAGATAACACACTTAGTCACTTTAGCAATTGGGAATTCAGAATATTGAGTCCTCATGAAGAACTGGTTAAAACTGTAAGTTCTTAAAAAATCAACCAGTATGCTTGTTTTAGTAAGCGATTCGTTAAAAACTACACACTGAGGCATACTTTAAATTCTGAACAAACAAACAGACAAGTCAGAGAAATACTAACAATCAAAGGATGCCCAATTGGAATCGCAATCAACAAAAACTTTCCATGTTTACTTGAAGTGGCAAGTAAATGTCATCTCAAAAGATTTAGGTGTATACATAATACTCTGAGATTAAAAATGGAAGGGGTTTTACTCGACACTGAACACTTGACCAAAATACCCCTCGCATGTGCCACGTGATACAAGGTATTTACCAAACTCTAATGATTAGCGACCTCTTTCGCGAAGGAGCCCACCTAAGTTAACAATTAGAAAAAAGGTACCTTTCTGTAGAAACGTTCACAATAGGAAGGTTATAAATTGTATGTAAGCGATACGGTAAATTTGGGTGGACATATTGAAAGGCCACCTGGCAAATATGCCGAACGAACAGAACAAATCATGAAGTGTTTTATGCAAACTGTATTTGTCTGCTCTTCAGGGAGAGTAGTAAAAGTTTCTCGCTCAACTCCAGATACTTCTGATCACTCTCAACCTTCTTATTAAAACAGAGCTGTACCCTAGTATTATTTTACTAGAGAATTTAAACTATATCCACCATTCACCAATACAACTTATTATTGTTATCAAAAATAGTGGACAAAATACGACCCTACTGCGGTGAAAATCAATAAAATGGAAATTTATAATCGCGGCGAGTGCTTCTCATATGCTCCCCCAGACAAGCACACTTATGTTCAGAGGGTAAATCAAATGCTAATAAATGAGTTTTTGCTGCTTCAAAGTAGGACAAGACTAACACTCAGACGAGTTATCGGCTTTCTGTTTCCGGCAGTCGTCTTTAAATCTTAGCTCCGTAAATCTTCAAAAGTAGGTTACAACCCAGAAAGGCGTGATGAGATTCATCAACTACATTTTGACTAGACTCTGACCACCTCGATGCTGAATTGTTTGTCAGCTTCCAGTCTTTCTTCTTCGAGTATGCTATATCACCGAACACGCAAGTAAAAATTATCAAATACGTGCCACTCAAATAGGAGATAGTGGCCACGGACCTGTATGGCGTGCACTCACCTGGCTTAAGGATGAATATATATCCTTTACTCTCTCCCCCAAATTCGTTGTCAGTGGAATCTGGGATGTCGATTTGTATATTCTCAATTGAGAATTCTCCCAGCAACCGTAATTCTTCTGGGTTTGTGTAGTAGTACATGCTCCTGCCTTGAATAACGAAGAACCTTTTCCGCCATGTTTTGAACTTCCCTCCTAGCTTTTTTAACCATCCAGTGTGAGGTTCAACGTCGGGTGATTGAATATCCGAATAAGCATCCTCAAGGAAAAACAAGAATGAGAGAATCCATGAAGTGATTTATCGCTCAGTCCGTCATAGTGTGTGCGTCAAGGTACAGTGACACTTTGAAATATCACATGCGACTGTTTGGCAGTACAGGCGAGACACGCTTCTGGTAAAGCAGTTAATCACCGCTGACAGGTCACTGCGTAGTGAATCGATGTCGTTTGTTCAGCACCTTGATTAATTACAGAATCTGTAGATTACCATCTTAAAATCCACTGTTCAGAGGTATTTAAGATTATTTTGCCGAAATGTATTCAGTTATGAGACTCAACAACTACAGTCATCTCCCTGATGGATCAGTTTTTGTATCGTGAAAGCTGTTGCGGAACATGTCATTCAGTAGATACAAAGATTAGAATAAACTTAACCGTATACTGTGTTTACCACCTGGATGTCTTCAGCAGCAGTGTACCGCACTGTGCTTCCAAGAACTGATCAAAATAAATCATAACACTTCTTAGCATCTCTCCTTAATTCTGCAGTAAGAAGGCCGTGGATGTGTGGGAAGCATCGAGATTGATGTTGTCAATAACTGGAAACGATTTACAAAAGAAGCTTCTCATGACATTCTTTTGCCTACCTAAGCGTCAAGGCTTGATAGAAACTGGTTTTAAATCCCAAATCGTTTGGAAAATATAAACACATTTAGAGTTACGCCAAAATTCTTTCAGGATTTTGTACTTGAAGCTAGCACCAATGCAGCGTAATTCTCCAAGAGTGGAAGAGAGCCAGAAATGGCTAATAGCCTCTCGTAGAAACTGACCCTTGTTTGAACAGAAAAGAACAATAAGCTTGTTTTTGTGGTGGCCCTATTCCGTTGTTAATCCAAGTGAGTTGCTTCGTATTAGTATACTCACACGTAGTATACTCACATATAAGGTATGTTTTACTAACCCTCTTTGAATTCTGACCCTGATAACGGATAGATTTATCAATAAAAATGTCTTTTCATGTTTCATTTTATGCTATTGTACATGTATTATAATCCTTAAACTCCTTTTATCAGGAGCAATCAACCGTGTTCAGTATTACATGTGTAATCAAAGAGATGCTATGATTCACCATGTAACATTTTTGGTTAAATCACAAACGTATGTGCTTCGAATTTGTCGATATCTTTCTGCACTAAAAGACATTTTGGATCACATATTCTGCTAAAATCATTGCAGTAAAGGATTCAACTTCGACGGGATTTTATTGGGGGCCTACTCTCTTAGCGAAAAGCACCTATTTGCATACCAATTCAGCTTAGATATGAAACTCACCTGGAACCCTCTTTCTAACACCATCATTGTTATAGGCCCTAGTGTTTGCCTGCCACTCTTTAATTTAATTACGCATATAGAAGGAATGTATCTGCCTCCCTTTCTAACATATTTGTTTAGATCAGTGGTAGTTGGCGTACATCAGCACATCGTGTTCAGTTTTGACAATCTCCTGCGGCTAGCTGGGCTATAAAACTAAGAAAAATGTTTACTTTGGGTCGTTTTGTAAAGGTGGTCGAATGTTTTTTACAACTCATGTGGAAATCCGCGTCGCTTTGCCGCCAACCTTTCGCAGGGTGATGGGAACGAGAGTTCACCTGCTGACTTCGTCGCTGCGGGTGGTGACAGCAGTCGGGTGTGGAGCCCAGTGCTGAGGTTATTTTCAAAGTGCAACAATAATTCGGGTTAAAATAACAGATATGCTGTTAGGTGACATGGATGTACTGACACACGTGACCGATTCGCGGCTCGATAATCAGTGGGGGGCTGTTTGTTGTTAGACCCTCTTTACGTCATTTTGGTCATGCTGGAATGGTGATCGAAACATGAATTTATGAACAGCATGATATGTGTGAGAACCTGAAAGGACTCATTACGTGGAGAGTCATTAGATAACAGAGTACTGCACTTGGCTCGAAAACTTTCCACGACTTTCACAGTTCGTAGTCCCAATCGACTGAACGAAAATTTCATCTAGCCACTGATATCCACTTACTCCTAATCACATATAGTTCAATTTACGCACTATCCGTTGCACGCCAAAACATTTTTATTGCGTCAGTCAGTGGACACCATATGGAACCTAATAATATTTGCACGAAGTAAGTTCTCACAAGTCAGAAATGGAATTACTCCCTAGAAAGGGAATGAGGTGTCGCAAAGCGCAAAATTTAAGTGAAAGCTATTAGATTATGGTCAAACCATGCGCCTCATGACATTTCTAACAATGAACAAGGAGTAGCTGTTTCGTGAATATTCGAGGACGTAGATTATGTTACAATAGATTCGGAGAACTATCGCTATGGAAGTTGTATGATGTCGTGATGGTGGTATCTGGACGTGAGTGGGGTAAAGTTAGAGTGCAACATTTTGTGATGCATAACAGTAGAGTGGAAGTTGCACACTATAAACAGATGATATGTGTACTAGTCGACCTGGCTATGCTGACGAAAAATGTGGTTAAAATCACAATAATAATTGCAAGTGGAATAAACACCGGTGCATAACTTTCTGATCAGCTGCTAGCAGTCAGCTGACTGTCTGTATTATTTTATAGCCCTTTAGATCAAAAGCCGCATTAAAAATCAATTTCGCCGGTTGTATGCTCTGATCGATCAATTGCCAGACTGAAATTGGTAAGCGAACCGTCACATGCCCGATACCTCAGAGTACAACTGATGATCCTTAGGAAAGACATTTGCATTATAATGTCGAATATTCGAGAGTCTACCACAGCTTTTCATTAAGCAAAACGATGTTGTCAACTTAGTATACCAAACAAACATAACATTAGGTATTCGATTTGGACTCTTACGAACCTTTCACCTTCAGTCTAATGCATACAACGTTGCAAAGATAGCAGTGTGCCAGCACTTCCAAAAGACTGTACCTCAAAGAAGAATGTTTGCCTTATGCTTAATTTTCAAGAAAAACAACGACCAACTAAACATTTAGAAAGATTTTTACAATTTGACACTGATAAGTTGCTATTTCAGATGACCAACGATTTCTGGCACACTTAGAAATAAACCACGATGTAGTGATCTGTTCAGTTGCATCACACAAAATTCAAGGCACTTCAAAAGCACCTAGTAAAGTGAGCGAGATTTGACTTAGGTCCATTTAAAGTTTTGGTAACAGGAACGAACACAGCTCGGATGGCTTAAGGTAATTAGTATGTATAAATATCTAATTTGCAACCTGGTTGCCTGGCACAAAAGACGACACCATTGGGCGACCCACATATAAAACTTTACGAATTCTACGAATACAACGGATACGAATGAAAGTTATCCACTTTTAGGACGCTGAACTAAGCTTTCACAGAAATTTCGTTCGCAATCGTTCTTTAGTCTGAAGTTTATCCAAAACTGTATGCCTTACGGACTATCTGGTTAATCAGAAGCAAGCTCTCACGTAAATTTGTCAAGGAATGTACAGCCAAAAACCTTTGAGGATGGCTGGCGTCTACGACTCTAGCTCACCAATCTGAACAGACATACAATAAGCTACAATAAGCCTTTCCATCTAATTTTTGTTTTGCCGTAAGGGTTTAGAAGGAAAGGCCTGTAGGGAACCGTTTTGTATAAAATGCTGATTGTTCATGCTGAAAGGTTATCTCTTAGGCACAAAAACATGGGACTGAAAGTTTTGCTGGCTCAAAGCAGAATTAACATGAGGTTATGTACTTCACACCACACCATAATTTTGTGTGTAGGAAAGTTGCGTATTAGGAAATCAAAGGAGTTTCTCGGGATGAGCTATGTAAGCTACAGGCACCGATTTAGTTAAACTGATTTGGGATGCACATCAATTGCGAAACCACTGCGTTTTTTCTAAACTCTAGTCTTATGTACTAAACTCTAGTCTTATGTACTAAACAAGTGATAAATGGGCACTAACTGACTCAAGCTATATATGCGTTTGCACATGTTAATGTGTAAATTAAGTCCTGCCTCTCATGATTATGAACTGATGATTTTGGCGCAAACATAGAAACATTCGCCACACAAACTACAATTTTGGAACGACATTTTGCTGAAGCAAGTTGCACACAGATTCGTTTATGTGCTATATGACTGCAGTAGATCGCTAACTAATGCCCGGATAAAATCAAGCATCCGCTGCCCTTAAGTAACTGCTTGTGAAGGTCAACACCGTGCGGCACACTCTGTATGTCATAGGCTTTGCCACTCTAAAGCTTACTGTATGTCACACTTCCAAAAATCCTACCTATCCCTCCGCGAAAAAGAAATGTAGAGAGTCGATGTCTCTGTCAGTTCTCCAACGGATTGAACACTGGTTACCACACAACATGTGGCGAATTAGAACTCAAATCACTGCTTTGAAAAAGGTACGCAAAGATTAACTTTTGCCAGATCTTGTGGCACTCTTATCGCTGATAAGTTGGAGTTTTGTAATGCAAACCATTTCAGGTCATTTTTGTAGGGTTTGTCAAATATACTTGTGACGCTTAGCAGTTACGGTGGGGTGTGCATTAAATAGCCTCGAGGAAAAAAGCTTTTGTTTATACGTGCTGCAGTTCTTCCTCCGTTACCCCAATGTCACTCTCAAGCATAGTTAACCAAACAAACTCGCAATAAAGACCACATACCAGCCTGTCATACCAGTGTGACCTGAAGTGGATCGGCTGCCAAAAATTAACTTCTGGAAACCGAACACCCAAGTTTCAACCAATGGCACCTTAAATCTAAGTCTACATTATTTTGTCGGGGATGAATAGCGTTGGGTTTTCTTGTGTTAAAGCGTAAAACAGGCTTCAGGCTAGGCATGTGTTACGGATGGCAAATTTCAAGGTGGTGGGTAGATGCACTGTGTGACGCCGCCGAAACGCTTGTTGTCTGACGTAAATGTTGTACGTGACCCACATTATCGACGGTACTTACGGATCTAGGACATCACAGGGACTTTAGAAACTTAAACAACTCAATTTGCGCTAACGCTCTAAGTTGCAGTCGAAGATAAGTC